TTACCATAAATCTATTCGAAAAGACTTATTTTAAAAGTGTTTGTGAAGCATCACATTACAACCAACTATAACTTAATTTTTCGAAGATCTGTGATGGCTCGGAACATATTCTGCATTTTAGTATACTTAGCTTAGTATACTGTGCGACCCTTCTACAGGCCAATGCGATTGGATTAAAGAAAAATTCATCGGTTAATTCGCAGATACGTCGATGATAATCCTTCGTTCGTAGACCAACATACTTACTGAAAAAGGCACTTAAGATAAGAACTTGAGAAATGGCAAAAGTGGTGAATTGGTCCTATTTTTGGCTCCGTTCGAAACTATATTTTCACACAAACTTTTCTTCATGATTGAGAAACTCAAATAAAGACCAAAAGGTATGCTCATTCGTAGAATATTCCTGGAAACTCGGAAGATTTTCCTTCGCACTCGCGGTCTTTTTCTGATGCACCGGAGCGTCAGTACAATCCCTTTTTGGTTAAATTTCCTTTTATTTTTCGTTAAACTAATTCAATTCCAAGGCCACGAAGAGACTGTTTTTCTCCTGCGAATCGGATATAAAAATGTTCTGTGTGATGCTGAATTATTTCATTCTGATTTTGGACTGTAATGGGATGCCTAATTATGTTTATTGTTGTGCCACAAGAAAGATGGCGTCGGGAGAATCATTATATATTGCTTGACGTCTAAAATTTATCACCCATTTAATGGTCAAAGGAAATTATTAAAAAGTTGACTCAAATGATAAAAAATAAAAATAAAACACGCACTAGGTGTCATGAAAACGCTTTCCACCAAACCGAATATCTTCTTAGTTTACTTCTAGCTGCAGGGTTCGAAATGAACTTTAATGCGCAGGCGGTAAGTGGCATTCAGACATTGTTGTTGCAGCCGCCAGAAGAAACGATTTGGTCACCAAAAAGGCCAATTCGTTAAATTTTCGTTCTTTTACTTATATTCTTATTCGTGAATTCTAGTGAACGATTTCTTCTTGTGTGGACAGTAGCACAAAGAAAAAAAAAAAGGAAAAGAAAAAGGAGGACGGGCGTTTCGTTTTCTGAGCGCTAGTTCATATAAAGAATATTGACAAACTTTTAAGTAGGTTGCATTAAAATTTCAATTCTTCCGCCGACAATAATTTTTCAGTTGAGCATTACCGACCAACTGGTCGCAATTTCAGACCCTAAGTGCCATTTGCTATATACAGAAAAACCATTATAAGTTAATAAGTTCAACACTTCTCATCTGTCACTAGCTTTATTTTCATTTTTACTTTTAATTTGCGAAATCTACAGGCTTTTTTAGTTTTAAAACGTGGAAGTTGCTAATATACCACGGCAATTGTAATGTGAAAGGAATTGAAATTGTTTTCACAAACCTCGTCTTTAATCACTTGAAAGGCTTTCGTAAAAAATTAATATTTTATGTTGAGTTAACGAAATTCAAACAGAGTTTGAGTCGCTAAGGAGTGATGTCAGAAGAAAAGAATTTTCAGGAAAAAATTTTGATTTCATGTTGTAGTCCAATTTTTAGCTTCGTTTCTAATTTTAATTTGTGTTCTGTGTTGAGAACTGAAACGGTGCAAAAAAATTAATCCATTAATTGTTTTAACAAACAAGTTTCAGAGAGAAACTAATTTATCTTTCCAGCTGGCTACCTAAACAGATGCGCTCAAGCTATTTCAAATATAGATTTCGTGTGAAGAGTGGGATGATCAAATACATATTGTACTGCTTTCTAGGAACAAAAAAAAAACCATCGACCCCTTTTTTCAAAATAAACATTCAGGTTCCTGAACGTTTTGTTTGAACAGACTGTGTCTGTTAATAGATTTGCCATTAGGCTAACCAGGATAAAAAGCTGGATGTTTTCTGCCTAAAATTTGAAAAGAGTTTAACCCCTTTCATCCGATTTGGTTTTTTAGTAACCATTACGGACAAATCTTACATGCGAATTACCTTTTTAACGCACCACATCGGTGGTCCATTGTTTGCATTTCAAATAGAACATTACCTTCGTCTGGACGCTGCCAAGTCACGGCTCAGCCTCACAGCGATCTGTTTGAACAGAGACGCTGTTTGAAAGAATGTTATCTCAGGGGAGCATAAAGTGTATTCGTGTAGAAGGTGAGTGACTGTCAGAAAAAGCAACGTACAGTTTAATGGAGGATGAACGCGGTTTCCCCTATCACTCAGCTAACCTTCAGCGGCATTTTGACCTTCTGCTTTTTTACTCATTCTCCTCTTGAAATGGAGTTTCTAATCGCCGCAGTTATGGAAGTTTATCAGTGGAAATTGGGTAAACTTACCAAGGGCAGCTCACGGCCCACAGTTTTTCCTTTTTGTAACACATTGCAGCAACTTTCTGGGAACTACCTCATGATTGACCATTTTGTAGAATTTAGCTTAGACGTTGCTAATTCATAACGTTTACATATAATCTTCAGGGATTTGCAACTTCAATTAAGGCACATGAAGTTGGACCTTATTTTTTGAACAATTATAAAACTGTGGAATATTTAAGGCTCAACTGAGAAATCCCTATACAGCCGCGGACAAAATGTACTGCGTAATCTACGGGATAGAGATTTATCCAGTGGATAGCGTTGTCCACCCTTCCAACAACCGGGTCAGGTTTGTTAAAGATATTTATTTTTCGTGTCAGAATCGGACATGAGCGCGCTCTCCATCCGAAGTTCCTCCCTTCACGTGGAAAGCGACCTAGTAACCTAGCCTCACACGCCCTAATTGCGAGAATGAAATGGCAATGGTTCTCAGACGGCCGCTGCTCTGTTTACCGTCATTATGTGGTGTGAAATCGCTTTTGTGATTAGCTCGCAAATAATAAAACAAATTGCTAGGAGATTGAAAACGAGGAGTTAGGCTCCATTACAATGTACATAGCAGGTAAGTGGACAGGGTGGTGTGTCAAGTTCTTAGGAAATTCGAGGAAATTTTCGTAAGGTTATTCTTAAATTTAGTTAGTGTCTTACTTTGATGTATATTTTTTAATGGCGGGATAAAAATCATAAGTTTGTTGGAGGATTCATCTTTGAGGGAGATTTGTTTCGTCACAATCAGAAATTACCTTTGCTAGAAATTACATTAACATTTCTTCATTTCGTAATCGATTTCACGCTGATTTTGACAGTAATTGGAGAGTTGTAGTTTTGGTCTACGAAAAAAAGTTTCAATAACATCCGGAGGGATAAGTGTACAGATTAAACTCTTCAATTTGTTGTTCTTACAATGATCAAAGTAAATTTACGATCACTTCATTGGAAGCACGATTGGCAGAACACTTCAAACTAAATGTTTTAAAAAGTGTTTTTTTTTTTTATGAAAATCTCATGAAGCAATTGCATGGGCCAGCGTTCAATTTGCAATAGCAAAGGCAGATGTAATTTTAATTACAGCACTTTTATCCTCAACCGACTGTATTTTCACTTACTTTTTATTCTGTGCAAATTAGGGTGTTAATGAAGTTATGAAACAAGCGTGAAAATGAAAAACTATTTACACAAATCTCAACTTGCATGCGTCGAAAATAATTGCTTTGGCAAACAAATCACAAATCCACATCTAATCTCCAGTTGATCCATTTGAATTAAAATTATGGATTAAGATTAATAAGAACAGATGATAACAGCAGAAACGATTTTTTGGGATAAGTTTTCTTGGATTTCGTATAAATGCTGAGTTTTAAATGCATCGATGTGTCTGAGTGATTTTATGACTTTTTGACCAAACACGTAGACGCTACGATAACACGAGTTAAGTTCACTATTGTCACAACAATGAAGAAAAGTAGATTTACGATGTGAAATATTTAGTCTTGTTAATTTTTTTTAATATCCTTATTTCAGATGAAAAATTCATAGGAATGGAAGAAGTGTACAAACTCAGCTTATTACTGTTTTTTTTTTTAAATAAAATTAACCGAAACCTAAAAAAATGGAGTATTTATTGAATTAGATGTTTCATTTAGAATAAATAGATTACTGATGTGAAGGACTTACTCCAAATTTTCAACCAACTGTATGCGGTTTGTGTTCTTGAGCATCGTTAGAAATTGAAGGTAATTTCCTTTCTTTACACAAGTAAGCTACGTTCCTTGGTGTTTAAAAGCTGCCTTTCCATATCCATACGGTGAATGAATAGAAAAAGCCTCGTGACACGAAGGCTTGGTATTTTCTCGAAGAGAGTCAAAAAGAGTTTTAATCCTCAGGCTGATTTTCAATTTAAAATTTTCCTGTCGATATTTGATAACCTGAATCCAAATGAGAACTTAATTACTTTCTTGCCATTAAGTAAGATGCTTTAATTTCTTGCACTTCAGCAGATTTTTTAAGTCAAAAAGGGAGGATAGAACTGGGCGCAGCTTGTCTTTAAAGAGGCTGAACTCATTATATAAGGAACATTCTTTTCCAGTGCAGTTTGACCACATTCCTATTTTTCATTAGCTCATTAGTTTTCCGCTGGCAATTAAGATCGGAAGAAATGATTTGGGAAAGTTAATGAATGCAACACTAATTACCCCTGAGGGAAAGCGACCAAAACTAAACTTCAGCAACGATTCCATGTACATAAAGAAGACATAAGTGGCTCCTAAGTGAAATATACTTTTCCAATGATCGAAACTGGCTAAAGACGAAGAAATCGTTAAAAATGAACGTTTGGGAAGGGCTAGCGGACAGTGTATGTGAAATACATGCATGTCTCCTATTTAGCTACCGCAAGTTTTTGATTCAAACAACTGAAAGGTTGTGAAAATAAGCTGTAATTTATTTGAAATTGGCCGTCAGTAGTCTTTTATCGAGATATAGATTGTTGACTGTTTTGACTGATCAGTGTGTAGTTCTTGGAATCGGATTGGTCATTGGCTATCTTGTAACTGGTTGACAGACTAAATTAATTTTTATTTCACTTTCCGTTATGAAATCAAAATTTATCACCACATCTCTCGCAAAGGTGAGCGAACGCTTGAGAAGAGCCGTCATCAAAATGAGCTTGTTGGTCTCTCTACCGCTGCTATTGTTCTTTTTCGTGTCTCCAGATGTACTTTTTCTAATTTTCCCAGATCACATCGGTAAGTTAGCTTGATTTTTGTATTTTCAAACCTTACTCAGCTGTCGCCTTCCTATCATCTCCCTCGACGGAGATGAAATAAAACAAGAATCAGTTATCTCTACCTCAGCGCTGAAGGTGATTTAAATCAGAGGACATAAGCAACAGTGAATGTTATTGAGATATTTCCTCAGTTTCTCAGTTACTACAGCTTTATAAGGTTGTGCAGCTCTCGAGGGTATGGTTTTTGCATACATTCTAGATTGGGTATACATATAGTTTTTTAAAGAGACATAAATTTTTGTTGTTATTCGTCTCTCAACGAGCCAAGTGGCTCGATTATGAATAGAAAATTGACGCCTTTGGTCTGAGTGTATGGGATTTGGCTCAGGTTTCAACATGGAGCAACGCAATCAATGGAAGCTCACCTCCTCTGTTCAGTTAGGGTAAGGGTTTTCAAGGTGCGTGCCACACACTTTGCTTGCATGTATCCTTTATGTCGGATATTTCACGTAAACAACTGGGACTGTGTTGTCATCGGCATCTCCTTATGGTCGGCTTTAGTTTTGTTGGTGGTATCGATAGTATTTTTCAAGGAGACTTTAAAGAGTTTTAAGAATACTTGATCTGAAAAATATCACTGACTGAAAATACGTCAAATGATTTTTGATTAATATCATTTCTGTATTTTCTAGAAAGTGATGTGTCCGTTTCCTAAGGCCAGACAAAATACTGTAAAAATTTTAAATGATATAGATTTTGAAATGGTATTAGGTTTATGTGCGTTTTTGCTTCCGATTATTTGAAAAACAAACTCATAGTGAGCATCATTTCGAAAAGGCTTCATCACTCTTGAGGGGCATTTGTTTTAATTACTTCTTACACCGATTAACTGTTATTCGCCGAGCATGTTGGATAACACGGTATGCTATATTCAAACCAGACTAAGAAGACATTGGAAGGTAAAACTCGTGTGCTTTTACGTGGGATGCTTACGAGATAGGCAGACGAAGTTTGTTTTTCTTGGAACTGAAGTCACAAATTGCAAAATAGACCAATGGGATTTCAAAAAGCATCCTTGTTTACTTCCGGTTCAACAAATTTACGAACAGAATTTCACGGAGAATTAAGTCCACAGATGTGTATGGCGTTGGTACATATTGTTTCAAAACTAATATTATCAGAAAAATATTCATCCTTCTCTCTTATTTATACATTTGTAGACATTATGACGCTTTCAGTTGTTGGTCAATTGTAAAATATCATTCGGTCAGTTCCTTTCAAACGTAAACATTTCAAGTTGTGCGTATCTACTTGTCAATGGTAAATGCCATTACGTTTTTTATCAAGACGTTTCAGTCGTATGTAAAAATTAGTCTGCGCATTTTGTATTCGCTCAGTATTCACATCACACATTTGTTGTACGCACGTATCTAAATAGCTGTAATCATATTACTCTGTTGGTTGCACTGACTAATTCGTTTAGTTTCAAAAATTACTCTGTCAGTTGTACGCACCTATTCGGTCGATTATAAGACCCAACTGTAGAGGTACTGTATGCTTGATGTTGCATTATAATACTTATTCTGCCTGCTGCAACCAATTAGGCGGCCAATGGATCCCAGGTGAAGTCTTTTAGGCGTCTTGTCTCAATAGCGATGAACGTAGCTTGGTGAGGTATTTCTAATAAGGCAAAACCAAGATCAGCAAAGGTGGTGCCTTTATCCCTGTTGTAATGTTATAAGAGGCCTTCTTTCACAGTGTTCAGTTGGCATGTGTCTGTTCATTTATTTCCGTTAACGAGCTCAGAATTTACCACTTGTCGTATTCTGTTTACCCTTACGATGCTTTCTACATTGCTGGTCCTGGCAGTATGCTGGACTCGGGTCACGTATGAATCTAGTGGGTGGTTTAGCTCAGTGGTAAAGCATCGAAGCGCAGAATCTGAAGGTCCGAGAGGTTCAGTTCCCTATGGGGACTCAGAAGTTTTTTTGCGTTCCACTCTCGTTTCAAGAGGGAAAACATTTATCTCCTCATTTCATTTTTATTTTTGCTTACAGTTTAGAGTCAGAGAGTCAGTGGTGACAAGGCATTTGTAACGATGGTGGCCTCGTTGGACGAATACCCACAGCTAGTGACAGACTTAACGCAACGCAGCTTCCCATTGAAGGTCCTGGAATCAACCGCCCTCATTGTTCTCATTGCATTAGCGTTTTTTGGCAACGTTCTGATCTGTGTGGCTCTTCTCCGGACCCCTGCTCTCCGTACAGTGGCAAACATGTTTGTCATAAATTTGGCTGTGAGCGATATTTTAATGGCGGTGGTTTGTATGCCGCTAACACTGTGTGTGCTTATCTCAGGGAATTGGCCATTCAGCGTGGCGGTTTGCGATCTTCAAGGGTTTTTCATGTTTTCGTTTGGAATCGTTTCACAAGTGAACATGTCCGTAGTTGCTTTAAATCGCTACTTCGCTGTTTGCCGACCGTTTGATTGCAAAGCCATCTTTACCAAGGGAAACGTGATTTGGATGATTGCCCTGCTTTGGATTTTACCAAGCGTTGCTAGTGTTCCTCCTTTGGTGGGCTGGGGATATTACGCTTTTAATGGGGGCAAAGCTTTCTGTATCTACCCCTTCAACGTCAACTTGATTTACACCACGATTGTTCAGCTTCTGTTCATTGCATTCCCTCTGGGACTTATCGGATTCAGCTACGCGAAGTGCATCATGGCCATAAGAGCAAACAACCGACAAATCGCGCAGATGGAAGACAACTCTCGCCCGTCCAATCAACAGTCGAGAAAAGCGCGCGAAATTCGTGCCACTTGGACAATGATGTTAGCCACCTTGGGCTTCAGCTTGTGTTGGTTTCCAGTCTCCTTCATAGATTTTGCAGACACCTTCACAGGAGGCGGGAATTTGCCACGGGGAGTTTTTACGCTCAACGGTTTTCTGATCTTCACGTCAAGTTCTATCAATCCTCTCATTTACTGGCTAACAAACCGCGACTTCCGAAAGGCTTACCAGAATTTGTTGCCGTGTACGAAAAATAATGTTGTAATAGTGGCCGAGGTTTCACGCACCACACAAATCACTCTTTCTCAACAACCTGTGGATGAATAACTGTAATATTTATTTCATTCATTCATCTAATATGCATTTATCCTTTGCTATCATCAGAACGACAATGATTTGACCTAATTGTAAATAGGTTAGAATCCACATTGATGTCATGTTAATTTTTTGACTGTGTGCATGCATTATTATCTCTACAACTCAGTTAAATTAAAACATACTTTAAGATCAATATATCAAACAAAAGCGTAGCAATAATTTTTTAAATGGGTTGGGGGGGGGAGGGTCAAGCTGTGTTACATCCATGGGGTACCTGTACCTACCAAATTGTCATGTTGACACCCACGTGGGGTATTACTAAAAATCGCATTTTTTTCGCGTGAGCAGCTTGCGTGCGACAAGCCCTTTCTAGTAAACAGAGTATCAAGCATTAGAAAAGATTTATGCCCTGCTGATTCTTTCGGCAGAGCAGCGCGTTTTCTCCACGTAAATGAAAGGTTTTAGTTGTTGACCAAAATAAATTCTCAGAAAGGGATGGTCATGGGCACCCAAGGGCTTCGCCTGTTAGCTAGGCCTCTGCCAATGTAAGCAGTCGTACACAAACTGACGCTCTTGTCACTGATCTTCTAGCGCCGTTTACTCGGAAGGAGGAAGCGTGTTAACCTTTGCGCATTGTTCAGCACCTTGAAATTGATTTTTCATTGAACTTGATTCAAAGTAGTTAACATTCCAGTTTATGCTAAAGAAGTGTTCACTTTGCGTTAATTGTTTAAGAAAATCGATTTTTTTCCCGCGAAACAAAGTGAAATAAACTTTTCTTTAAGGATTTCCCATTGCTACGGGTTATTTCGTACACGTAAAACAGCTTCTATGAGATGTGTTTGCAGAACATGATTTATTAAGAAAAACTTTGTCGTAAACAAAAAATAATGTGACTGGCCCTAAAGGATCCAAATTTCCCCATTTAAATAGCTTTTAATTATTATCTAGATTAAAAAATGTTTTGTTAAAACTACTTACTTTTAAGTTATCAAAATGACCAAATTATCCAAGTTAAAATTAAAATTAAAGCTATCAAATTTTGATTGCAAAGCACTTAAAAGTGCTTTGCTATTCACTACTGAAATGCCATTGTACATAACCCACTGGTCAAATTGCAAATAGGTTAATATGTTTAGTTCATGAAATGAACTGGACCGGGTTGAACTGGGCCGGGTTGAACTGGGCCGGGATGTTCAAAGCTGGGTTAAGGTGACCCAAGGTTAGTGTGAAATTTTATTATATATCTAAAAGCTTTCAAACAAATTTTGGTTTAAATATTTTTGTCCGCAACTTGATGAATGGATGTTCTAAAAAGAATAGAGAAAGTTTTCCTAAAAAGGTTTTTAAACAGGGAAATAAATATAATAAATATTAAAGCCTGGTAAATATTTAAATATTTAAGCCTGGGTTAACGCCTGGGTTAATGCTAATCGGCCTTCGCACAACTGGGCCCTGTACAATACAGGGAATGCATATATAGTCGTGGGATTATAATGAGAGATGCGTTTCCTTGACAACGCTCAGTCTTCCACGAATTAATAAATAGTTAGGTAATGTCGATACAAAATAATACTTAATTGACGAACCAAAGAAGTTTTTCAATAGCAATATAAATGTATGGGAATGTGAATGCTTTATTGGCACAACGGGCTCAAAATACAAATTAGCATTGGATTATTAGCAATCATGTTATTTGCAGTGAGCCTCTCTCGCCTATTTATCAACAGCATAGCGAAAACAGTCCCTTTTATAGTTAAACTACTTATTCAACTTAGTGGTGATCGTCCTAAGACTACATTAAATATCTTTAACCCTGAAATTTTCTATTCGATTATATCCGAAATTTGTAATCACCTCTAGATTCGGACTTAGTTCTATAATTACAAACTTTAACCAACCTTCTGTTTCTGCGAAATGGTAAATTACACTTTGCTCACCGTTTTGGTTGTAACTTCTAATCGACCGCCATATCTTTAAAAAGTATTCAAAAAATTCTTGGAATCGCCAGTGCAATTTGTAATCTCTCTTAGTTAAATTTTGCCTGATGGTGAATTTTTTGTGAGCTAGTTTTCCCACTGGATACTTTCGTTTCGGTTGATACGCTTCATCGACACCGTCAGTGTTTTTAATGAAATATTAATAATGTTAGCAATAGTGACAGGGAAACCAGAGTAGAAGCGGGCTATTTACACAAAGCAGGTTTCTTCCTGACTTTTTGATCCGCTTAAAAGACTTCTGGTTGCGAAAGGAGCCAACTGGAAAAGGACTCAACGTCCGTCAAACGAAAATTCAATATATTCCTGTTACCGAGAGAAGGCGTCTCCAGGGATCAATTTTTGAAATTCACATCTGGAGCCAAGAAGAGGGCGAGTGTCTTGCAGCTGAGATGTACCTGTTACTGTGAATAAAACAATAACTGCTTCACAGAAACATCTTCAAAGGTAATTATCTTCATTCTCTTTTAGCTAAAAATGAGAAAGCTTCATGGTGTTTCTTCCTGACGTTTCCTCAGTTTTTCAGTGGCTTGTATAACCTTTGAGAACTCTTCTATCAGAACCATATACCCACAACTTACAATTAAAATTTGACTGGTATAGTTACTTACGGATCAATTTATCTTCAAAGGACTTTAGAGAAATATCTTTTGGATTTCTAGAGTTTTATCTAAAGGGATTAAATAAGTTAATTTGGTTAAAAATTTTTTTCCGTGAATCAGACGTTTGAAACAACCATGAAAGCAAGAAATGATATAAGAAAAGAAGGGTTTAGGTGGCTGTTAAATAATTTAACTTGTTTCAAACGAGCAGTGAAAATGTAAAACTTCCATTTTAAGTTCCATTTAATCATAATGCAAGTATAAGAGATGTTTAGATAAACTTTCTTGAGCAGCTGAAAAAAGGCTGAAAGTTTCGAAAGAAACTGTTTGGGGCTGCGTCGGTGGGAATAACGAAATAATTTGGATATATCAACAAAGTTGAAATGGTAAATTGGCCACCGTAATGATTACAAAAGCTAATCATTACGGTGACCAATTTACAATTTCAACTTTGTTGATATATCCAAATTATTTCTTGAGCAGCGTTTGAAACCAACTAGTTGTTTAAAGTCATGTCAGTAAAACGTTAGTCTCTCTTCACGTTTTGGTTGTTGAGGTCTCATGGTACCAGTTTGAACAAATTTAAACTTGATGTTGTCCTGATCTTTTGATCTATAACGAGAGAGAAAAAAAATAGTACTAAGTAAAACTGGAGTTAGTGTGACTAGATTAATAAACGTAAATACGATTTTCTTACGCTTAATTAACGAGAGAAACATATAAGGGATTTTTGTTGGACTTGAAGCCTGGCGGCGGAACTGAAATAATTGTGAAGGACTTTATTGACAAATCAGTTTCCCACCTTTGGTAAGATGTGTCAGGAGGAGTTTAGTTCACGAAAAGCAATCAGGTTATCTAATTGCCGTTTTTACAGGTTAGGTTAAGAGCTAGTAATTTGGTACGGATCAATACTTTTCGATAAATGAATGTCCTAAAACTCGATGGTATAGTCACGGTCTGTGCGTAGGGTGGGAGAAACGCCGAAAATTGTGCAAACAAGTGGTAAAGTTGATTAAACTGGTCAGACAGACGGTCTGTTGACCTGCTACAGATAGCAAACCAGTTATTTAGACAACTGCTTGGCATCGGCTAGTCGGTCCTGTGGTCAGTCGGTCGGACAGTCAGACGGCCGGACAGTCAGACGGCCGGACAGTCAGACGGCCGGACAGTCAGACGGCCGGACAGTCAGACGGCCTGGTAAATGTGTGTTTTTCCAACTCCAGATATAGTATTTCTAGAGCCCGATTGGTTCACTCAATTTCGGTTATAACTGTCAATCTCCTTGCAAGTTATATCATTGGCAACTTCAAACTGAGGGGTTTAGGAACTATAACTTGTATTTGTCTCCTCTATATAGCGAATTGATAATGGCGGACACCGAAGAACCTCAACCAGATCCCGTCGAGGGGGAAAACGAGAAGAATTCCAAGAAAAAATCCAGTTTTCCCAAAAGATATGTGGTGGCTATCATGATTTTTCTTGGTATCTGTGTACAGTACGCTCTCCGAGTTAACCTCAGCGTAGCAATAGGAGCCATGTGTAACAACCACACCATTGAGCAGAATGGATTCACCATCCAGAAGGTCTGCTTTCTCCTTTTATTTCCAGCATACGTACTGAAGCTTCCGCTGCGTACGTGTTTGAACAATTACACTGTCTTTAAAGTACCATGCTCTTTTTTCTCTTGATTAAAGAAAAATGAATTTTTACATGTTTGAACAATTACACGTTGTCTCGAAAGTAACGTGCTATTTTTTTCTCTTGATTAAAGAAAGCTGAATTCGATTGGAGTTCGAAGCTACAAGGTAACATATCCGGCACAGAACATTATAGCCCTTTTGTAATTGTAAAGTTAAATACACACACACAAAAAAAGAATATATATATATATATATTTCCCCGATAGAATATACGATAAACACAGAGGAACTGGTCAACCGGCTCCTTAACATTTAGTTCATTACACGATTGAATCATGTCATTTTATAGCAGCTTTGAATTTAGAGGAAACTGTAGCTCTTCAGCGAGTTCCAAATGTGAAAGTTCTGTCCAACCCCTATGATTTCTTGCTGTGAACGACACGATAAATGGTAAAGTTTTATGAGTGCTTAACACCCAAAATGAATCAATTTAGAAGTACATAAGACCAGTTTGATTTTTTTCCAAAAGGTACAATACTCGGGGCGTTTTACTATGGCTACACTGCTATGCAGATCCCTGGCGGTTGGTTGGGTCAGAGGTTTGGAGGAACCCGCGTGTTTGGGATTTGTCTCGGGATCGCCTCGATACTCACCATGCTCACACCAATAGCGGCGCGCACCAGTGTCGCAGCTCTAATTACTCTCAGGGTAATAGAGGGGTTGGCTTTGGTAAGTGAACAAACTACAGCATGTTTTCTACAAACAAGCAAGCACGGAGACAATCTCCAATATCGATCAGTCATACTCTTGCGTCGTAAAACTCATCTCATGGCTCTAGCCTCCTTAATCATTGCATATCAAGCAAACGTTATGTAGTTTTACAAACAAATTTTTTCTTAAGTTTTCTTTTATTTAATGACAACCCACAAGCCATTCGCAGATAACCCTCCGTAGAAGAAAAATCTGATTTTGAAGGTGAAATTTTCAATGTGCTAATATCTCTATTCGTTGGGAGTGACGCGCAGTTCTGTTCACCCCCAGTCACTTGACTATATTATATGCAAGATAGAGGTGCAAAGATTCAAGTCATGTATGGCCGGAATCTCGTTCATATTAATTTTTTAGTTAACTTATTTCTTGTTTTCATTTTCAAAGGGTGCTCTTTTCCCGTGTAACCACGCCATTTGGAGCAAATGGGCACCACCCTCTGAAAGAACTCGACTTTTTACCATAACCGTTGCAGGTGATTATATGAACAATGTAGAAGAAGTGATAAATTATGCAAGCACACGGATAACAAACAATCATAAAACAATTTTCAAAAGAAGGCTTAAAAACCATCTACACCCAAGCACCGTTTCACCTCATTTAACTCTTACCATCGTTCTGTCTGACGTGATTTATATTTAACACGGTTCTTAATTAATCAATCATTAAATCAATCAATCAATCAATAAATAAATCAATCAATCAATCAGTCAGTCGGTTAGTCAGTCAGCCAGTCCGTCAGTGAGTCAGTCAGTGAGTCAGTCAGTGAGTCAGTCAGTGACTCAGCCACCCAGTCAGCCATTTAGTCGGTCAATTAGTCAGTCAGTCGTTCGGTCAGTCAGTCAGTCAGCCAGTCAGTCAGTCAGTCAGTCAGTTAGTCAGTCAGCCAGTTAGCCAGTCAGCCAGTCAGTCAGTCAGTCAGTCAGTCAGTCAGCCAGTCAGTCGGTCAGTCAGCCAGTCAGCCAGTCAGCCAGTCAGCCAGTCAGTTAGTCAGCCAGTCACTCAGTCAATCAGTCAGTCAGTCAGCCATTCACTCAGTCAGTCAGTCAGTCAGCCAGTCAGCCAGTCAGTCAGTCAGTCAGTCATTCAGTCAGTCAGCCAGTCAGTCAGCCAGTCAGTCATTCAGTCAGTCAGTCAGTCAGTCAGCCAGTCAGTCAGTAAGTCAGTCAGTCAGCCAGTCAGTCAGTCAGTCAGTCAGTCAGTCAGTCAGTCAGCCAGTTAGTCGGTCAGTCAGTCAGTCAGCCAGCCAGTCAGTCAGTCAGTCAGTCAGCCAGTCAGTCAGTCAGTCAGTCAGTCAGTCGGCCAGTCAGTCATTAAGTCAGTCAGTCAGTCAGCCAGTCAGTCGGTCAGTCAGTCAGTCAGTCATTCAGCCAGCCAGTCAGTTATTCAGTCAGACAGTTAGCTAGTCAGTCAGTCAGTTAGTCAGTCAGTCAGTCGGTAAATCGATCAATCAATTAATCGATCGATCTTCCTCCGAGAATATATTCGGCATCTCTGATTTGTAAATTTGGGTGGCGAAGTATTCAAGAATTTATAATCTAGGTCTAGTTCTGAAAAACTTCTCAATAATATTTTCCTATTAGCATTTTTCCTCGTAAACATTTCATAACATTCTTTCTTGTATCACGTGATAGGTTGTCCAGTGGGTACTATTCTATCCATGCCCCTAAGTGGCATTATGTCCAAATATGGATTTGATGGAGGATGGGCCTCCGTATTCTACTGTTTCGGTAAGAAAGTACAGAATTGTATTGTTGCTTGTTTTCTTTTTCTTAAACTTGTTTCTCGAACGTTAAGAATTTTCGATTTTTACCATTTACCTTAGCCATAACGCTTTCATGCAAGTTGTATATTCCGCTGTATATCATGACGTAATCAAAGTATCTCCTCAAGCCTTTCACTCTCGAGATAGAGTTAGTAATTCTCCTTCCTGTCTGCCATACAGTTCTTATGTTTTTAGTTCGGGGAATTTGGTTTTGGGTCAACTAATAATCCCTTAATGGATATTTTATTGTAAATCTCATCACTTTTCTGCTTGATATTGAATTGATACAGTAAGGAGAAATTCTGTCTTGGTCACTCATGGGATCGAGTCAACGGGTTAACCTGTACCTTATTAGTTCTCGGCGGTGTGATGCTTCGCCGTCCCATTCTGTCTTGCATAGGTCTTTTCGAAAATTAATTTTAACACTTCACCTCTTATTTTTTTGTTGATCATTTAGGAGCGATTGGTCTTCTTTGGTTCTTTATATGGCAACTAGCGATCCATGGCTCTCCATCAGAGCATCCCACTATCACTCCTGAAGAAAAAGTCCTTATAGAGGAGAGTATAGCAAAGCTACCTCAGGCCAAAGTAAGGGACTACATCTTTATGTGTTTTTTGTTCCTGAAATGACCAAGCGAAATAAATCTAACTAGCTGAGTGACACGTACTGCTGATGACGTTTATTTCGCTTTTGAAATTGACCAGGGCCCAGTTGTTCGGAGGCTGATAAGCACTAACCCAAGGTTAAATTTTAATGCGGGTATGTTTATTCCTTTGTGCAAAAGCCTTTTCGAGATAGTTTTCTCTATTCTTTTTAGAGCATCCAATCATCAAATTCTAGACAAAAAGAATCATATTGGAATTTCTTTTAAAGCTTTCACATCTGAGATCGTTTTTCACACTTACCCTGGTTTGTCTTGACCCAGCTTTGAACAACCCGGCCCAGGACTCTCGGTACTTTCCCTGGATGGGACACTCGGTCATCCTAACAGCAACCTCCGCATTATTCGTTGAGTTTTACTGAAAAGTTTTTGTTACCCTTTCTTACTCGAGAACACAACACAATGTCCACCCACGGCTCTACGCCGGACCTCTCGATTAGGCGAAGTTCCCTGTTTTAGTTACTGGACCATGAGGCTCTAACAAAGCAAAAATAAATTACTATACCGAGACAAAGTTTTAAAACTGTAGCCTGCTATTTGTCGACGTTTCATTTTAGAAAGGCCAGGTCCCATGGAAATCGATTTTAACGTCACTTCCCGTGTGGGCCATCATCACAGCCAACTTCACTGCAGACTGGGGCATGTATACCATCTTGATCTGTCTCCCCAAATATTTCATTGAAGTTTTGCACTTCGACCTTGCTAAGGTACGTATGCATCAGAACTGGGAGACAGGAATATCTGAAATCATCTCTGTCACCATATGCTCTTGAAACACGAACACCGGACATGGGAAATTTTGCTATTCGATTCGCCAATATGTATTTGTACAGACGATTAAATTTTGCTGTTGCCCAATGCTGAAAGGAGAAAAATTCTTCTAAGATCACGCCAACATATAACAGTACACTGTCATTTCACTGATACTAAAACGTTGTGTTGTATACACAGACTGGGTTTCTGGCGGCGTTGCCATATGTTGTGAAAGCTTTCGTTGGACCTGCCGGAGGTGTTCTGGTAGATTGGCTCATTAAAAACAAGATGTCCGTTAAAAACACGAGAAGATGCGTTTTTACTTTTGGTAAGAGAATCTTTTTTCCCTGATACTTACACCTGAATCTCCTTTCTCTTTGCTACTTATTGTTTTGCAAACTGATGTACGTTGCGCTTCATTTTCCACGGCAATCAAATTCAGATTGTTTCCGTCTTCAGGGTGTACCACGGCTTCGATCTTCATCTTGATAACAGGATATGCTGAGACTCCGGCTCTGGCCGTTGCCTTTCTTACCATCGGTGTGGGTATCACGGGTCTGAATGCTTCAGGTTATGCCGTCAACATCCTTGATATTGCGCCTCAGTACGCAGGTGTCATAATGGGCGTGACTAATGTGTTCGGTGCGTCACCGGGCTTCATCAGCCCGCAGATTGTTGGGATAGTAACTCCTAACAAGGTAAATAATCACACATTTTGAGGTAGAATGTGGAAACAGTGAATTATAAAAGATATCTCTGTAGCTCATCTTTGTCACACAGATGAATGAACGTTTAAACATTTTTCTTTTGACTGGAGAGTCCCGATTCGACTGTGCTAATCTTTGTCAGGCGAAAAAGCCGCGCGACGACGCGTTTCTAAATGCATTAGTGGATTGGGTTTAGTTTGTGCATTTCAGTTCGCTGTAATTTTTTGCATTTGAAAATGAAACAAAGTTTTTTCAATAAATGAGGAGTTTACTTGATGAACGGCTTTTATCTGTGAGATCTCATAACACTTAAGGCCAATTAAATTAAAGAAATCGACACTTTCAGTGGGTGTGAGACAAGAACATATCTACTCTAGGGTGAAAAGTTGAATTCTTAGTAGGATAAGTTTTGCCTTAAAGCAGACATTAAGCCATTCATAACATTTGTGAACATGCGCAAATTAAGAGAATGTGCATTAATTCCCGTTGATTACTAACATCGCTGTCGTTTGCAGACCGCTGGCGAGTGGCGCATTGTGTTTTGGATCACAGCGATCGTGTACATCATCGGTATTGTGATCTTTGGTCTGCTGGTGTCAGGTGATCTGCAACCCTGGGCCCAACATGAAGACAAGAAAGACGACGAAGACGGAAAAAAGGAAGAAGATGAAGAGAAAACAGCTGAAAAACAGGAAAAACAAGATGAAGAGAAGAAAGAGGATGAAAAACCACAGGAAAGTCAAGTTGAGGCGAAACAAGAAGAACCAACTGAAGAAAAACCTGCAGAGTAAACGTAACAGTCGGATAACACTAAAATTTTGTTTAGCTGAAAGACCTACATAGATATTAAATTAAACCTTGTTACTCTTGATGACAAACAACGCGATGACAAGATACCTACAAACCGAGGAAGTTGTATCATTAAGAAACTGTCTGAGGGTATGGTCTGTGATACTTAACCGGGACTGTTAGCTATTCTATGTTGTGTCCTGAACATTCTAATACAACAATGTCGTTGTATAAATGGTTCTGATATTATTTTTGACCTGAAATACTTTCTTTTAAAAATAATTTTCCCTATCAATTGCATGATAGACCGATGAAACCTTACGAGCAAAGCATTTATAATTCATGACATAATGCGCGTGTGCTGCTTCTTAATGCAGGTCTCTTTTTATTTTACACTCTATTAACTGTAACAGTTAAGTTTTCAGCAAGCGCATCGTGCTGTTAACGAAGAAACCATTTTTGCTCAATGCATCCTTGGATTCCTGTGCTCATTGTTCCACGTCCAATCAAAGGGCGTGAATGTCCTCCAAGCTGCAAGCTAGACGTCAACATGAAAAAATGTTCGAACTTCAAGTGTTGTTTTTTAATTTGCATTTTCTGCAAGAAAGACAACTGGTGAATGCACGATTGGAAATTACGGACGCATCAGTGCAACAAAGATAATGATATTTTCTTTTCATTCTATTACTGGTTATTTCCTGAGTGGTCAAAGCGTGGAAAATGACAACCAATCCGGCTGGATTTAATAATCAAGAATCGCAATTCTTTTCGTAAATAGAATGTACAATGATTTTAAAAATCTCAAGTTTATAATGCACAAATTTGTTAAGTGCTCTTTCCTTTGGATGCTTTGAGAGTAATCTCAGGTTAGATAACCAAATTCTGCTTATTGTTTATTTCTCACTTATGATTTGCTACATTTCGTTTAACGCCTTATTTGCTCGTATCGGCCGTTGCCTGAGTTTCCTGATTACATGTACTGTTACCATCTGCAATAACAGTAAGACATTCTTTAAAGCCAGCCATCAAGCTAAGCTAAAATAAAAATTCTGTCGTATAGAGGGGCTGATTTTGGTCAATGTGCGAACCTTAATCCAGCTCTATGTTACCTTACCACGCCCTCGTGGGTAACAGACAAATTTTCAACCTCTCGCCACTAGGAGTTTCAATAGAGAGATTTAGCTCTGCGTTTACGTGAAACGGCAAACGTCAGCTTGCCCTTTTACGTCTCAAGTAAAATAGCGTGAACCTTGCTGCTTTTGCTTCGCGTGAGCTCACGTTATGGTTGATTTGAAGGCGCCCTTGTCTGACTTACAAGGAATAGTTTTTGTGCCCCTTTTCCGGCAATTAACTTCTACTCTTTGAGATAAGAAGTGAAGAAAATTTTACGTGCCGTCAAACGCAAAACAGATTACTTTCACTTAGAAACGGCAAAGCACAACCGGCAAACGTGAAAAATGGCGGCAAAACAAGGTCACGTGGTCCCCCTTGCCGCTCACGTTTCACGTAGACGTGGTGCTAAATCTCTCGAATAACTTTTTCCGAGCGGCTGCCGACGGTGTAATAGGCAGCTATGCTCAGAAAGGGGCCGTGAGGCGAAACCCAAACACGAGAGTCTGGTCACAAGTTAAACAGACGGCGGTAAGAAGTGAAGAGAGAGGTATGCTCTTCCTAAGTCTATCCAAAGATGTCCAATGTCCAGGGGGGAGATGCCCTTTATACCAATTTAAGTCACTGTGCCGCCATTCATTATGATGATAGATAGAGGTAAGAGACAAACTTAGGGATAGTCCATCCTATACTGGATAACTTATCAAGTCAACACGAAGAATAGCCCGTCCTGGTATTAATAATGGTATCGATCTAGAACTGGAACAAGTCATTCACATGCCGAACAAGTCGCTCCGCCGGCACTGGCCGAGGAGGGTTAGATGCTTAAAATCTATGCGGTCAATATGACGGTTAGAAAGGATTTTCCAAGGGCGTCTGCGTCTTAAATTATGACCAAGGGCGTCTGCGTTTTACTGCAGACACTAGACTCTGTGTTTGGAAAAGACAAAAATAAACTAGTAAGAGAAAGATAAAACGTGTTCGGCGTTTGAGATAAGGGAAATTGGCAGTGTATTGGTGACGCTGCAATGAATACTCTAATTTGCAATCCTCATTTCGGAATGATAATACCCATTTTTGTCCCAACCCTCACTCAATTACTTTCGCTATGATTAGAATACCTATTCAAATTTCTGCACTGAACAGCACAGCAACCTATCCGATAGGTAAGGATTTACTGTCTAGATGAGCGCGGCGCAGCCCCTCCCCGTGAAAATAGCAGCACTGAAATGTGGTTCAATTGTGATTAAGAACTTTATATGTGGTTTTTGTGGTTTCTGCCCCGATACAAAAGCTATTCTTAGGTTTAAGCTAGGGTGGTTGACAGTATAGTAACTAGCTCAGTTTAGAGTGCGTTTTTTCAAACCTGCATATGCAAACAATCCTTAACTGCTTAAGCAAATTCCCAGCCATCATTAAGTAGTTCCAGATGTTATCTCTGACTAAAGATGTTGCTACGCCAATTATAAAACCTCTCTGTACGAACATCCTTAATCCTTTGACCGCCCTTAGATTGGATGACTAGTAGCTAATTTCTCCTTACAATATCACACTTGAATCACGCATTAATTAAGGTCACAAGAAACTGAATAAAGGGAATGACCACGAACCATATAAAGAAGAAACTCTAGACTGTTAAATTCTCCTTGTCAGCACCCTTGGAAATGTGTGAACTACAGTATGGAGAAAATGCATAATGATGTTAGGGTGTAAAGGGGAAACTTAAACTGGACGTGCTTCTATATCAAAAATGAACTCGATGATCCCAGTTTATCAAGGATTTAAAATGAGCGTATCAAAACTCATTTTTCGACGCTTTGCAAGAGGTAAATCTCCATTTTTTCTAATGTCGTTCAACATACTTTGAGAACTAAATTTTTCGAAATACCTGTTTCACTTGAAAGGGTTTTGTTTACACTTGGTGTGTTGCTTGGTAACATCCTTCAAATCTACGGGTTGAAGTCAAAAAAACACCTGCAAGTCAAATATGAAATAGCCACCTTCAAGAAGCGGTTATGGCCCTTCTAAGATGACAAAAAAGTTGTTAGGGCGAAGTAAGGATATCGTGAGGATAAATTATGGTGTAAAACAAAGTTTATGGCTCAGTCTACGGGAGACTTGGAGTCGGGTTTAACCCGGTTTTTAAGCACTTTATATGCTTGCTTTCGCTTTATGTCAAGATTTCTTGTTTTATGCCAGTTCTGCGAATGTCCGACACCAGGGAAGAAGTGTAAAAAGAAGGTGAATGGTGATGAAGATATTTCATCGGAGACAACAAATCGTCAGGGGAATAGGATTTCCAGGGCTGTATACAGTTTTCCAAAGCGTTATATATTGGCCATAATGACTTTTCTCGGATTTATGAACATGTATGCGTTGCGTGTTAATTTGAATGTCGCTATTGGTGCAATGGTTAACAACCACACCGTCCATCAAAGAGGATACACTGTTACCAGGGTAAACTTTTATCGTAAATACCTTTTTCATATGCTACTCATAGGATCGATATCTATTTTATCAACAGGATATGAGCCGAGGTATATTTTCCTTTTTATTTGATTTTTAGGTTAATGAAAGATTTATGTGCTGTCTTTTGTTTTCGGTCAAAAAGCAGGTCTTGAATCAAAATCTTCACCATTTAGAATTACAAGATATAGCATGGCATGCCTTAAAGTCATCGGAGAATATTTCTAAAATGATTTTTATGTCCTTGATATAAGTCAATCATCAAGACGGTACTATGGATTTTTCGGATTTCCTTTTTAAAAATGCTGGTTTCCAATCTGCTGTTAAGTTTTGTTACCTTTTTTTTACCTGTTATGGGGAGGATATCTTTTTACGACTGCACATAGGTGTGAAATTAATATTGTGACAATGCTCTACTCATTAAAATAATTGTGTTACGAAAAGCGTTTTCTCACTGCTAGATCTCGTGACTGAAGAAAGAACTGACCGTCGAAGTCTCAGTTTAGTAAACTTTATCACGGCAGTTTATTAAACCTTTTAGCTCAGTTCATAAACAACTAAGAATTCATGTTCCCGCCAAAACAACATGACAGTCTGCTTTAAAGCCAGTGAGTTTGCCTATCTATTGAATTTACTAGTTCACTTATTTTCCGAAAGTTTGAAGCCAAGGTATCCTAGCTTGCTCAACTTTCCGACACACCTCTCAAATTGTTATTGCGCTGTGGGAAAATTATGACCAAGTGACATCGTCACTCTTAATTATTAATTTTCAGGAAGCGGAATTTGATTGGGATTCAAAGCTTCAAGGTAAAAAAAAAAATTCAAATTCTATTGATCTTCCACAAGTTTTGTAAGCTGTTTCTTCTGCTTGGTCGAAATTCTTGCTAAAGTTATCTAGTTAGCTGAAGGACACTTGTTGTTCATCGCCTTTTATCTCTTGCAAATTTTGTTGGACAATTATTTCTGGAATCATTATTGCGATAAAATCAAAGCTACAATTGCAAAGAGGCATTGAATTCAATAATACATTAACCGCTCTACTTAAGCTATGAACTCTTTGAAAGAAGTTTCAACCTCCTTTCCATCACATCTGTAATCTGCATTATAAAACTATGACTTCTGTCCTCATCATTCTCTGCGCAGGTATTGTTCTTGGCTCATTCTACTATGGATATGCTTTTTTACAACTTCCGGGTGGCTGCCTCGCTCTCAAGTTAGGCGGTACGAGAATATTCGGTTACGCCATCTTTTTGGCTTCCATGTTAACACTCCTGACACCAGTGGCTACGCGTTACAGCGTGTACGGCATGATTGCTGTCAGAGCGGGAGAAGGACTTATGCTAGTGAGTTATAAAAGTCGTCAGTTATCCATTTTATTACACGACTCGGACAGTCAGAGGGCCAATAACTAAAATCAACCAATCAAAATGCTCTATTGCCGGTCCAATATTCTCTAAGTATTGGACCTGGCACTGTCCCGAATAGTCCCGAATGATACCGCACTTGTGTCCCTTTGAACTTCAGTCGTATAATAAATCTCTTATTAACCTTTTTTTTTGGGGACGGTACTGGAAGAATATCGGCCCTCGGTCTTTTTTATACGGACCGAGCGCAGCGAGGTCCGTACCGTTTTTTTTTCGGGCCGATATTCTCCCAGTACGGCCCTCGCTTTT